AGCAGTACCCATTAAAGATATTACTGCCGAAACAGTTGCTCGTGTTTTCGTCGAAAGATGGATCGCGAACTTCGGATGTCCATCCTACGTCACAACCGACCGTGGGCGCCAATTTGAGTGCGGACTATTTCACGCTCTAACGGCACTTTTAGGTTGCACTCGGTTCCGAACGACAGCCTACCATCCACAAGCAAATGGCATGGTAGAGCGTTTCCATCGACAGCTGAAAGCTTCCCTTTCAGCTACAAACATACCTCAGTGGACCGAGGCTCTGCCTCTAGTCCTACTAGGTATTCGTAACGCGTTGAAAGTTGATGCTGGATGCACTCCTGCAGAACTCGTCTATGGGACCACTCTTCGCCTACCAGGTGAGTTTGTTTCCCCTTCAACTTTCAAACATGTTTCCGATAGGGCATCTTATGTGACTAGGCTTACAAACGCAATGCGTTCAGTTAGGCCTTCTCCGATTAGACCGCAAACGACTGATGTTTTCGTCCACCCCAGTTTACAGAAGACATCACACGTGTTTGTTCGCCACGACGCTGTTCGTCGACCACTTGAACCACCCTACGACGGGCCGTTCAAAGTGATTAAGCGACATGAGAAATTCTATGTAATTGAGCGAGGCGGACGCGAAGATACTGTCAGTATCGACCGTTTGAAACCAGCTTATTTCGAAGGCAACCCCATTGTAAGTGACGTTTCAGCTCGCTACATCCGACCGACGGATGACTCAATTATCGAAATTCTCGACGATGTGCCTGGTAATGCACAGCTGCAACAACCAGCGGCGCAACAAAAAACACGATCAGGTCGAACCGTCAGGTTCCCAGAGTACCTGAAGTCATATTCAACTTAGCTATGTGTGTGCCAACCATTTTTTTTCGAGGCACTATTTTTCTTATTTACCGGCACAAACCCTCGTACACTTTGCCTTTTTATATCAATTTTTATTTACCATGTAATAAAAACTAAAAAAAACGGCGAAGATAAGCGTAAATTTTTCTTTTTCGACACGTTTATATATAAATAATTCCCATTTTTACGCAACGTTTTCGTGGTATTAAAGACTTTTATTTATATTCCAGGTGCAACGAGCACTGGACGGAACGTCGAAAGGAACAGATGACCGCGACCGACGTACAATTTCATTTATTGTATTTTATTTATTTAATCGCCACGACACCCTAGAATAAGGTTCAGACAACCAGGGGCCACCTCACGCAGTGAGCCCATCGGGAGAGTTTTACCAGTGGAGAAACCACTGGGTTTTTACTTCCGGCTGGTATCGTCTTAGGGTCCTCACGAACCCACTAGGGGAGGAGTGATCTGTAGCGTCATACACTTCCCCAAAATCAATAGCCTAGGGTTTGACGACTTCGACATTGATGCTGACCTTGATAGTTTAACTGGACTCGCTAAGCTGAAGGCATCCGGTCAAGCATCCTCGCCATTTGGCACGCTGTCGTGTTACGTTGCATTGCTCGTATTCGACTCTCTAGCCAGTTAGTTGGAACGCATCGGTATTTTGGCATAACCATCCAAATATACTATTCCATCCGACTACGCTATCGTGTTCTTCCTTGGTCTCGTATTCGTGGGTATATAACAAGTTCGAATAATTAGTGATTGGTCTTTGCGTCTGTCAATTTCGCACCAGGACAAATCCTAAACCACTAAACCACGGTAACGCTTGTATTTACTTCCATACTGTCAGAAACATATGCTATACAAGCGCATGGTCTCTATTCAGTTTTCACTTATAAGGCTAGTAGGCAAGTTAACCTGTGTTAATCCTTGCAGGAGATATCTCTGCAAAGATCTAGTTTCTCCTTGAACGCGTTCAAAAGTGCTGATACTACCTGCTGAGATAAGGAGTTCCAGTCGTTGATTACACTATGGGAGAAACACAGATTCACGCTTAGTTGATCCGATCATGGTTTTTGAATTTTTTTGTGATGCCCTTGGAGATAGTCGATCCTAGCAGGGAAAAAAGATAGGACATCAGCTCCGAAGTCATTATTAAGGATACAAAATGCCGGTATGAGATCATGCCGTTTCCCACGGTAAGACAGTGGGCATATGTTTGGCTGATCTAATCGTTCCTCATAGGATAGATTCGAAAGGCCCGCCACCAGCTTAGTACCTACCCTCTGAACACGCTGGAGCACATCAGTATCCTTTTTTAGTCATGGGCTGGTCGTCGGAATGCAGTATTTCAAGTGAGGTCTGACGTAAGTAGGATAGAGTATTCTGAACATGTCGTGATCAAAGCTTTTGGAAGCTCTGCGGATGGACCATAATACGCGCAAGCCCTTTGCCGCAGCTGTATTACAGTTCGCCGAGGTTTTCAAATCATGACTAATGATGACACCCAAGTCTTTCAGTTCAAAGACTGCGAGTAGTGGTGAACCATCAACGGAATACGGGAAACAAGTGCTATGACCAGTGTGCATTATTGCGCCTTTGTTAGAGTTGATTTACAGGTACCAGCGTTTGGACCAACCTACTAGCTCATCTAAATCCGCTTGCAGTTCATGCCTATCCGCACCACTGCGTATGGCTCTCCACATCTTTACATCATTGGCGAATAGCAGTACCGAAAAGTGGAGCACTTTTGGTAATTCGTTGATATATAACAAGAAAAGTAGTGAACCTAGGATTGTTCCTTAAGGAACTCCACTCATCACAGGTTTCCACCCGGACAGTATCCCATTTACCCTTACTCTTTGCCTTCTATTGCACAGAAAGTCCCTAATCCATGCTTGCAATGAAGCACCAAACCCGTGATATCCGGTTTTCTACTAAGGGTCTCATGTACTGCACGACAGTCTGCTCTGTTCTACTGTATGGCTATGAAACATGGCCATTGAAACTGGAACACATGAGAAGGCTTCAAGTGTTTGACCACCGTTGACTTCCTAGTATAGGCCGTATTCCATGGTGTCACCACGTGACGCAGAAGTCAGACGTAGGGTTTTAGGGAGTAGAGGTAAGCCAGTTGACATAGTTGTGAACCTTTATCGACTGAGATGGTTGGGACACGTGTTAGGTATGCCCTAGTCACCGTCTGTCTCGTCACACAATGTTGGCCGAAGTAGATTCAGGCTGGGAAAAGCCCCGCGGCGACCAGACTAAAACGCACCAATGTATGAAGTGTTTGACTGTTGGTTTGAGCCATGTGAGGCGACGCAGACTAGACGGTTGGGGTCTTTGGGACAAGAGAAACCACTGGTTGGAGACTGACTCTAAGGGATACGGCCCAGGGTTGGTGTCAGTGGTGCAGATGTATACACACATTATCCTCATCTTAACGACGCTATACCGAATCTCACCATTTTCTCATTTTTCCTCTCTCTCTTTCAGTACTTTATATTCCTTTTGACTGAATTTTTTTTCATCTTCGACTTCACTGCCTTTTTACTTGGTGTAGTGATATTAGGTGTGGCAACTCGGATCATTACGCAGTAATGCCTGGTCCTATGTTGATTTGAATGGATGGATGGTCTTCTAAGTTAACTTGGACTAGCACAGTTGTATCAACCAGCAGTGATGGCGCAGCTGACTTTCAAACAGTGGGTCGCACTGTCACTCCACCCTTTGCAATAAATATGCATTATCTGGTACACACTCTACTCGAGTTTACATTCGTTTGAATGTCTATGTAAGTAGTGTAAGCTTTTCCCTGTATCTCAACATGCTTCTTATCAGGTAGTTCGGTGCATTCTCGCCCTCCCATTACATTTCCCAGTATATATGACTAGTTTTACTGGATTCATCTAAAGATGACTTTCTGTATGTCCTTGGCTTTTGTCATTTCTACCATTGTTGGTTTTAACCAAAAACACTTTTTAAGAATTTAGAATTTCGAGTCAAAGAAGCTCTTACAAGAGTGCATCACTTCAAGTTGCCACATATTTCAGGAGCGCAAAAAACAATGAACATCTAACAGTGAACAGCTATATTATGATAAAGTTCTTACGATTCTTCGCAGGATAAAGACCGAATACGTTTGTGTCATTAATGGTTTTCAACCACTGTTTTCCAGCATCTCCAAGATATTGGAAAGGCATATACATCCTCATATAACTTGGAACACCATTCAATTACTTCATGGATTGTAACCAAACGCGTAAATACATTCAGACTTACTTCACTTTGCACTTAAGCATCACTCAGTGTTCAGTAGTATCCTAGCCGGTGGTAAAAAAGTTTTGGATATGAAACAATCTAGATTCACTGTGAGGGACTGGTTTTACTTTCCCAACTAGGACTATATGGTGAATCTCAAAAATTTCTGCTCGAGAGTGTTACGACTTCATTCATCAATTTAACTGCGATCTGATAATGTCTAGCATCACCTGTTTGGACGTCTTATAAATGGACATTCATATGGCTTTGTAGTATTTTCCACAGACTTAACGCCTTGAATTGTATTTCTGACTACAATTTATTGATAAGAAAACGAAGTTAGTTATAATCAGTGTTCTTATTTTCCTCGATTCTGACCCCAGTATAAATAACCAAAAACAAGTCTGTAGTCGTGTACGAACTCATTTGCTCAGTTGCTAGTAAAACTTTCTAAACTTGTCTTATTAAGAAGTAATATGCTGAAGCTACAACTCAAACGCGACATTGATTTCATTCATACAAGTGCCAGAATGAGCCTCTATGCTGCAGTCCTTGATTTCACTTGGTGTGGTCATTCATATTGAACTACTAGTGATTTTATAGTTACCTTAGGTTGAATATTTTCCACTTAACTTTATGTCTTAGGAACTTGTTGGATACACTGTTGATGATTAGCCTTCGAAACCTGTGTAGTCAGTAAATCTTACGCGTAGCTATCGCTGGTTAGTTCTTTCTCATGTTTTTTTTCGCTACAAGTACGATAACAACCATAATTTGCATATAGTTTCAGTTTTTCAATATGATTTTTTAAGATCTTTAGTTTTTAAAATAACTCTGGATTTCACACATTTGTTATGATAATTCTAGTTATGCCAGATGAACTGCCGCATCAAGTTAGTTGGCGTAACAGTAGCACTACCGACAGTCAATCGAATCTTATGGTCGGTTTTTATGAAACACTCAAGAAAGAACCTGGAGATTTCGTTGATAGTTGGACTAACCTAGAAGACTGTAGACTCCTGGATCACGTTTCTCGCCGTGGTGAGAACCGCTGGAGTCTCATAGGAAGAAGACTTGGGAAATCGGCTTTACAGTGTTCAGAGAGGTAGGTGTTTATTAACAAGCTCCTTTTTCAAACCATGTGAAAAATGTCTTTTGTATCTGGGACATATGCTATTTTTATTTGTATTGTCATGGCGACATCTGATTTCCGCCTAGTAAATATTACAAAGTTATATTTCTACGGATTATTGGCTCAGCAGTAAATCCATTCAGTTTGGCTATCTGGTCAATTCGCAAACTTCACTTAATAAAGTTCAGATAACTTTTTAATTACTAAATGTATGTGTTTATTTAGTAGTTGATACGTATTTGTTTATTCATTATTGTAGTTTCCATTAAGTTCTATTGATACCTCGTTAATTGCGAGTTGGCTTCATCCGCATCTATTTAATACTATGGAAATTAACTTGTCATATATTATTTGAAATGATATCGGAAACTGCTACTTCAGATTGCTTTTCTTTATAAGAGCCTTCCATTCGTTATTCCAGATAGTATTTCGGCAGTAAGTATGATAATGTTTAGCCCCTGCCTGAGATCACCAGGATTCACAGTGTCAGATTATGGTAAACAGAGAAGCTATATTTTCACTTCTCTAATCGAAAAACAAAATTGTTTTAACTTCCCTGTTTCCGTAACTAGGATAATTCCTAAGCAGATCATCTTAACAATTTCGAATAGCAAAGGAGTATCAGGTGATAATCTTTTTCATAACCTCCATGAGTCTGAATGGTTATCCTGTTTTCGAATACAGAATAATAAACAGGTTAATACTCTGAGTGGTGATACTTCTGGTTCACAAAACTGAATGACAAGTAAATTACAACATGGAGATAAAACCTAAGATCGAACGGAACCTACGAATCCGAGTTAGCTATTACTTGACATATACTCCTACCCCCAAAATGACCATAAAATTACTTACTAGAATTCATCAGCATTAGGTAATACCTGCAATTATTAAGGCTTATTGAGGGTACTGACAGGAAGAAGACGATAGTCAATGGGATCAGCGAGGAAGATTTGTCTATAATAACCTCAAGACAGGCGACAACGACTCTTTAGTTTCCTAGTATCCAGCTGGAACCTGAATAGGAAGTAGATGTCGGTCCTCCTACTCTCCTCGAAGGTTAGAAGGTTGTATCGAACCTGAAGCGGTGCAAAGTAGTGGGACCCGACAGTTTACCACCTGAATTTCTCAAGGAGGTGGATAGGAAATTGCTGAGTATATGGGAATCACAGATAGCCCTGTCAGACTGGCCTACTCTGATCATCCCAGCAGTCTTCCTGTAACAACCATAAGAGAATCAGCTTGATGAAAATTGTGTTCAAGCTCCTTGGTTCCGTGGTTATTCGACCCCTAAATGAAGCTCAAGAACAACAAACTTGAGAAAACCAGGCAGGTTTCAGACTTAAACGGGGTGCGTTAATCAGATTTTCACCCTCCGACATATTCTGAAACGTAGCCATACTTACCATATTTCTTGACGTGAAGGCGGCATTTGACTGTCGACCGTGAGGTGTTGTGGTAGTGTCTGACTGTAAAGGGGAATACTGAGCAAGTATATAATGCTTATCAAAGCTCTCTACTCGAACCCACGCAGCCGTGTTGAGGGCTTATAAAAAGTTGTTATCATAATTGGCGTTAACTGGTGGTGTCCACCAAGGATGCACACTGTCATCATTCCTAGTTAACTTCGTTATAGGCGTACTAATAAACATATGCTTATGTACCTGTGACTTCACAGGGATTGATCTATCCCCTAGACATCATCTGGTTGACTTAGATTACAAAGAGACTACCCCGGTAGGTGAGCGCCTTGAGCAGAAATCTGAGTATGTTTGACTAGCATGCGTTTCGCACCTGTCGAATGCAAGATGATGCTCTAGGACTGGTCTGCAACCACTCCCAGTTTAGGGACAGGGAGTGAAATGGTGGAATGTCCTGACCACCTACTACTTGGGGATTTGCATCAGCTCAAATGGGGTGGTTGCTGGCAAAATCTCAGCTCAGAAACAGAGGTCTTGTTTGACTTGACATTTTTCAACTTGCATTATCTGCGGCACTGACTAGTGATATATCCACCAAAGAACGAGTATACTGTGCCGCAGTCCGTTCTGTTCTGTAATACAGCTGTGATAAATGGCCGTTAAAGATAGACGATATGAAAAGATTACGGGTTTTCGCCCACGAGTTTCTTCGTAGCATTGCTCACGTTTGGTGGAATCACCGTGTCAGCATTGTTGAGGTCAGACGAAAGGTACTAGGCAAAACGGGGAAATTAATTGATGAGTTTGTGAACCTGCGTCTACTGAGATGGCTTGGATATATACTACACTTGTCGGACCACCGCCTATCTTGACGTGTGATACTGGGAGGAGTTGAATTCGAAGAGGGTTCAGGTTGGCCAAATCAAGACGTGGCACCAGTCAATGAAGTTTCTGACCGTTGGTCTTAGGTGTAGACTACCTGGCTGGAGTCCCTGAAATGATCGAAATCAGTAGTTGAGGTCTCTTGGTGACGTGGCTAGAAGTCGGTCACAGTGTTGCAAGTATATTCGCTCCTTGACATTTTCTAAAGCTTGAGTATTTGCACTAACCGTTATCTTCAAATTGTTTATTCTGTCACACAGGTTTGTCTACTTTGATGTTACTGTTTTTCTGTCCATCTGTTCTCTGTGTACTACTGTGAAGTGTGGTAAGTTGGACTGATGCACTTGTCTGTAAGGTTTTACGGTGATTTCGTCTTCCTAAATGTGCACTGCTCGCAGATTTGAAAGAAATATCGTATCCTAGCGTCCAGATGTGATATAGTTGCTATGTGGGTTTTGACATTCTCCGAATACTTTTTTCGTTAAATGTATAGTAACGCAACTACGTTACTGGCAAACGTTTTATTTCTCATGTTCAACCAGTTGGTTTTACTCATGAAATCAAAATCAGATCCACCAAATATTTTATCGTCATTTGCTACATTTTTGGCTCTTTGGGTTTGAATTGGTTAGTTTTCCAAAGTATATTATTACCTCTGTGAGACTGACACTTTCTCATAACGTGAAATGTGGAGCTATGGCTCACTGGTTCACTGAGATGACGTACATCCAATGGGTCATTGGCTTGAATGTCACCATCAACCGAGGTATGGGCAGGCAGCCAGGTAGTATCATTAGCTGTCACATACTAGGTGTGGTTCATTGCCTACTGCATGGATTTGCACAAGCTTGCTGAGTACACTTCAATTGCTTTAATTCGTAGTGTGAAATTATTATGGTCATTTTATTCGATACCGCCTCTTTCTTTCTTCTAGATACTTGAAGCATTTACGTCCTCAAATATTGGGATCTAGTAAAACCTACACAACTTTATTACAACGTAGCGTTTCTCCACAAAGTGTTCTCAGTTTAGAACAGAATTCAAAGTGGACAAAAGGAGAGGATTCCACTTTAGTGCAATCATGTATAACTCATGGATCCAACTGGGAGCTGATAGCTAATCGTCTAACAACTAATAGTAGTTTGCGCAAGAAACGAACTGCTCTAGATGTAAGACAAAGACATGAAAAAGTTGTTCCACACCACTGGCCAACTTACAATAAAGAAAACTGTCCACTATCTAGTCTACGTTTTCGTAATTCTCTGTGAGTTTTTTAGAATGGTGCTTCCCTTATTTTATTTTTGTAGTGCTTGAAAACATTGATTAGAATGCTGTTGTCAATCACGAGACCTGGTATTAGCTGTTCACTGGTTCAAGGTTGCTGTTTAAACTCCAATGTTACCATAAGGAAAGACTTCCAACTGACAGTAACAGTGTCAGAGGTCGTTAAAAGCTTTAAGAATAAAAATTGGTCGGCAGGCGTTTGTGTATGTGTGAAGGTATCCACACCAGTGTTATCGATTAGTGTAGTATTTACTCTGGCGATTGAAGAGCTGAAACTTCATTTCGAAGTATCTAAATGCTGACTTTTCACTGCTTTACCATCGAGTATGCATCTGCTCCATAGTGGCTTGTGTTTTTCTTCCCATCCATTTTTCCTGCGTACGGCGTTTTAAAGTGTGACCTCTTAGATGATCGCGAGGCTCTGCATCCTATATGTTGTCTGGTCTCGATGTTGTTCATTTTAACTGCTATCCTCGTTTAGTAAGGTTAGATATGCAGCATAAACATTCTTAGATGACTTAACGCCTACACCATAATGTCTGACTTTAATTCAGTGTAAGATCCTATGTTCTGCGATGGTTAGACGCTTAAGTGAAACTCAGACAGAGAGAATCTAAGAGAAAAAAGTAGGTTTTTCACCCGACTTCCAAGTTTATCTATCAGTTATTCATCCTTCGTCAGATTCTGGAACACAGATACACTTGCTGACGCCAGACAGTAGCTAAATTTCTTGACCTGTAGGCGACATTCGACTCTATCGATCGAAGAAATGTCCTACTGCAAAAAGTTCTGAAGTGTTCCACTCAGTGCTGATGAGTTAGAAATGCGTAATTTGTATGTTGTTTCAAATTTAACTGTTTATATCTGGTTATTTGCATTTCACTTTGATGGAACTGAGTTATATAGCTAAAGATAGCATAGATTATACTTAGTTTTATGTCTTGCTTCTTTCTTTCCTAGACTGTCTTGGTCAAATACTTCTAGGAATAGTCTTGTAAACTCTGGTGACCAACCATTGAATAAGACTTCCCGACCTACTTATGTGATCCCACTGTCTTCCTTAAAGTCAAATTCAGATTTGACATTAAACAGAAATTGGAAAATCCGATTAACACAATCTCATGATTCAGGGGTAAGCTGCTTTATAACATTTCTCTCTTTTAAATGAGTCTAACGGTTCATCCTTTCCGATACAATGAATAATGAGTATTAAATAAATTAGGGTGATCGCGGAGACCCCGACCGATAGCTGCTACCTTGACGTGGTGGTCGGGCTTGCATATCACAATGACCCAACGAGCTATGCTGGTGGAACGCTTGTTCCCTCGAGGTCCTACCATACCAGAAAGGTCTGTTGGGTAGTGGTTAGACGAAAAGCAGTTACCGTTATAGTGTAAATTGCTACACTATGATGGGGGTCTGAGGGCGAAGTCGTACTGCTGCTAGCTGGATGGGGTGTGACAGCAGTAAGGTGTTTCCCTTGGATGACCAGCAGTGCCAAGCTGATGCTGCCTTCTCAGTGGAAGGGGGGGTTAGAAAAGGTCGGCCCCAAAAATAACACACTCCACCACGCCCCACGGTCTGCCGGGCCGGCGGTGTTGGTTCACTTGTCGTTTCCTTTCGACATCCGGCCCCAAAAATACAAAATTCAAAATAATCATACTCAAAAGGCTGGGTGTGACAGGCCTCAAGCAGATGTCCGATGGGCTCTGCGGTCACACAAATCTCTTTCAGGTACCTTAAGAAGAAATAGCCTTCCACGGTGTGGGCAGCCGGGAAGTGTCAACCGCCCTCACAACTCTGTCAGCACCCAAGTTTCTTCTGACTGCTATCCTCCTCCTCCATCATTACCTTCTAATCTTCCTTCACGTCTCTTAATTAATGATGCTGCATCATCTTCAATTTCTCCTACCTCTGCAGCCTTCGACAACGATCTGAGTCCACAGAACAGCATCCCTGGTCTCCTTAAACCACGCTCCAAATTACATATTGGAGCCTTCAATGTCCGCACCCTCCGTCAAATTGGCCAACAGGCTTCGTTGGCAAAGACTCTAGCAACTCGGGCATGGATGTGTGCTGTGTTTGTGAGACACGCATACAGGACCCAAGTGTGGTTATTCACCTGACCTCTCCTGACCAATCTGGTGAATCTGCAAAATTCACCCTTCGAGTTTCTGGAGATTCGATAGCTAGCTCTCGTGGTCTTGCAGGTGTAGGTATAGCATTAAGCACCAGGGCAGAAAACTCACTACTAGACTGGATCCCAGTTGATAGTCGCCTCTGCGCTATGAGGCTGAACGGCACAGTGAGAACTAAAAGGAATAGTGAGACTCGCCGTTGTCTCTTTGTAATCTCTGCTTACGCACCCACTGACTGTAGTTCGGATGAAGTGAAGGACGAGTTCTACCATAAACTGTCTAACCTCCTCTCGAAAGCCAAACGTTCGGACGTAGTGGTTGTTGCAGGTGACCTCAACGCACAGGTGGGTAGACTGAGTGAGGCAGAAAGGCACTTAGGTGGCACTTTCGGAATCCCAGCTGAACGTACAGATAACGGTGATCGCCTATTACAACTATGCTCAGATAACCGCCTATTTTTAGCCAGCACAAATTTCAGACATAAAGAAAGGCACTGTCTGACCTGGCGTCCACCGAGCTCGACTCAGCGATGGACACAGATAGACCACATTGCTATTAGTCATCGCTGGAGAGGATCGGTGGAAGACTGCCGCTCCTTCTGGAGTACGTGTTTGGACAGCGATCATGCGTTGGTCCGAGCACGTATATGCCTGCGTCTCAATGGACGTAGAAAAAATTTGGCAACAAAACCACTACGAGTTCTGCTGGACAACGAAAACACCAAAGCCGTGTTCAGTGAGAAGTTGGCTAGGCAGTTATCGGAACAAAAGACTGTCACTCATCCAGAAGAAGCTTGGTGCCATCTTCAGTCTACTGTAAAAGCAGCACTGGAGACTGTAGCCGACTCCAAGATAATGGCTAAAAAGAGCCAGTGGATATCAGCAGCTTCTTCCAAACTAATGGATGCACGTGAATGCATCCCTGCAGGCTCTGAGTACAATGAAGAGCGAGCGCAACTTAAAAATAAACTGACGAAAAGTCTGCGCAACGATCGTGAACAGTGGTGGGCAGCAAAGGCTAAAGAGATGGAAAAGGCAGCGGCGATCGGTAACAGTAGACAGTTATTTAGACTTATTAAGGAGACTGGGGGGAAATGGTCAACAACAGTTAGTGAGGTTATAGCGGAGAAGGACGGATCGGCGATTCACTCGCAGGGAAGGCGACTGGGACGATGGGCAGAACACTTTGAGGAACAGTTTAACTGGCCTCCAGCCACCATTGCGCTGCCCGCTATCCAGTCGGACCCTGAATGGGACATAGAGACAGGTCCCCCAACACTAGAAGAAGTTGAGAAAGCGGTAGGTAGCCTGAAACGGGAAGGGCAGCAGGACCAGACGGACTACCTGCTGAGGTATACAAGAATGGTGGTAGAGTTCTCTTAGTCAGGCTAACGGAAGTGTTAGCCAGTATATGGGAATCAAATACGATCCCCTCCGACTGGTCTAAGTCACTCATCATCCCAGTCTTCAAGAAAGGCGAGAAGTCCTCTTGTGATAACCACAGAGGAATCAGCCTGACAAACATAGTGTCTAAGATCCTAAGTTCTATAATTCTCCGACGCCTGAGTGGAGCTCGGGAACAGCAAGCCCGAGAAAACCAGGCAGGCTTTAGACCTGGCCGTGGATGTATCGACCAAATATTCACACTGCGCCAGGTCCTGGAACATAGGCATGCTTACAGACGCCCGACAATAGCTGTATTTCTCGACCTGAAGGCGGCATTTGACTCCGTTGATCGAGAAGTCTTATGGCAGTGTCTGTCACTGAAAGGCGTGCCTAGTAAGTACATCACCTTATTGAAAGCTCTCTACTCGAACACTTGTGGGCATGTTAGAGCCTATGGTGAGTTGTCCAGGGAGCTATACTCATCAAGTGGTGTCCGTCAAGGATGCCCACTATCCCCATTCTTATTTAATTTTATCATAGATATTCTTATGGAGGTTTCCCTCTCGTCACCTAATTACAAAGACGTTGACCGGATCACAGGTGAATTTTCCTTAGATCTAGAATATGCAGATGACATAGTCCTGTTAGGTGAAGACGCTGACAAGATGCAGAGTCTTCTGAACACTTTGAGTGGGAATTTGAGAATGTTTGGGATGCGATTTTCACCACCCAAATGCAAATTTTTGCTCCAGGACTGGTCTTCAGCGGTACCGCGGTTAACAATAGAGAGTGAAGTGGTTGAGTGTGTTGACCACTTCACTTACCTGGGAAGTAGGATCAACCCGGTGGGTTAGTTGCCGATGAGATTTCTGCACGGATACAAAAGGCTCGATTGGCTTTTGCCAATTTGCGCCACCTATGGCGCCGCCGTGATATTCGTTTGTCTATTAAGGGTCGCGTGTACTGCACAGCAGTCCGCTCTGTTCTACTGTATGGCTGTGAAACATGGCCATTGAAAGTGGAAGACATGAGAAGGTTACAGGTATTTGACCACCGTTGCCTTCGTAGTATAGGACGTATTCCGTGGTGTCACCATGTGAGTAATGCAGAAGTTAGGTGTAGAGTTTTAGGGAGAAGAGGTAAGTCAGTCGACGAGGTTGTGAACCTTCATCGACTGAGATGGTTGGGACACGTACTACGTATGCCTAGTCACCGATTGCCTCGTCACACAATGTTGGCTGAGGTGGGTTCAGGCTGGAAAAAGGCCCGAGGTGGCCAGACTAAAACATGGCACCAATGTATGAAGTCTCTGACTGTTGGTTTAAGCCATGTAGGACGATGCAGACTAGGTGGTTGGGGTCCACGGGACAAGAGGAACCAGTGGTTGGAGACCCTAGGTGATATGGCTCAGAACCGAAGTCAGTGGCGCAGATGTATACACACATTATCCTCATCTTAACAACGCTATACCGAATCTCACTATTTTGTCACTCCTCTTTCCTTTCTTCTCGTACTTTATATTTCTTTTGACTGCATTCACTTATCTTCATCCTTCACCTCACTACCTTTTACTTGATGTGCTGATATGAGGTGTGGCAACTCGGACCGTTACGCAGTAATGCCTGGTCCTATGTTGATAATGATGATGATGATGATGATCGCGGAGACCACTATAGTAAATATCTGTCACGTCCAACAGGAATTTATGCGCGTACTTCTCCTACATGAGACCAATTTGTGATACGGAATAACTGGTAGCTTCCACTTCTCCATTCCTCTCTAGTTTATCACAGCGAACAAAGGTCTTCCACTGCAAAAAGTTCACCTCCGATCCCACATCCATTCTCAAGTTTATACAAGAAGAACAGTTTTGATTATATATTGATATGTTTAATTTCCCGTTGTTGTTCTGGATCGAATTAATCGACCTCTGTTGGTGTATGAGCCCCTACGCGGATGCCTCAATATTGTCCGATGATTGTTCATGTTGTAAGTTGCTTGGTGGTGACTAGCAGTGGAATTGAAGGAGCGCGTTTCGTCCTATTTGGGACTAGTCAGCTGGATGTACCTGCATTTCATTTGGAACTACACTCACTAGGGTGCGCAGGTACATGCAGCTGATGGATTTCAAATAGGATGAAACGCACGTCCTAGATTCCAGTACAACATAAAGAACAGTTGTGATTGTAGCATTTCACGCAGCAAAGAACCGAAGGGTGAACAACTCAGTCAATCCAGACAGTTATAGACACTAATATTTACTACCCGTCGCTTAGTATATGTGAAATTGTATTGAACCATCGTAATGTCAAGCGTTTGCTTGAATTTTCAATGAGTTAATGATGAGTAATTCCTGAATGCTATCCAAAAATACTTTGGAATTTCGTAAAGATGGTTTTTGGTTATTCATATCATAAACCCTTAATTGTAAATTACTATGGTGTACTCTGTCTGCTTGATTTATCTCTAGTGATTTGGACGTGGTAAACGTATTTTTATGTTTGAGATTGTCTGATACTGTGTTATTTAGTCTAGTGGGGATCATAATTTTCCTTTATAAAGCACGTTTTCCTAATCTGATAGAGATATCATGTCTGGCCCAGAATGAAGCCGTTTTTAAAATGTTTGAATAAGGAATAAATTTGTCGCATTGAACATATTCTTGATTGTTACGTAATCTCCAAATGTTTTCCTAACCCGTTAAGATGTCATGTTACAGTGTCATGTTTCTTCCTCTTTTTTTTTTACTGAAACGATAAAATGAAAGCACCTTGACCTTAACAAATTTGTTTAACTTATAATTATAGTGTATGAATGCGAACTGCGATGATTTAGAAGCTGTGTTAAAGTACAACTTTGTTGGACTGTCATATGGATGATGAGCAACGATGATGTTGTTGTTGTAATTTCCTATTTTGACCATTACGTATGCGCATGCATTGTGAATGAACGGAAAGGTGTCAATAATCCTTTATCGATAAATGAATCGTGTTTTTAATGCAGTGACAGATTTGACTGGGTAATCATGAAATTTTTGAGATGAATGAGGATTATAATTCTGAGGTAGTAGTATTCATCACGGATTGACATCAGCTGGAAAACCATTGAAAACCTTGGAGCACTGGACAGCTGTTTCGTCCCAGTATGAGACTCCTCAGCAGAACGCACCCACGAACCGGTTAGAGATCAAACTCAGAGCACCTTCAGGTTTCATGGCGAACGCGCTAACCAATCTAACTATTGTGACAAAGTTCAGTGATTCACAGTTCTGAACTTCTACCAACTCGCGATATAGCGCGACTATCGCCCAAAGTCTGCAGTTGACATCCGCTTCCCTTTTGACTAGTTGACCCCCAAGGTCATAGCTTTTCATTAGAACTTCGTGATATCCATCTAGAAGCATTTCACTGATGAGCACTACACAGTAATGTATTTTTAAGGTGAATGGGAACTTTAATTTTAAGGCGGTATTTATCGTGTACTGACATCAGTTAGGGTGCGTATTGGTGAGGTGTCCCATACCAAGACGACAGCTATCCAGTGCACCCAGGTTTCCACTGGTTCCCCAACTGATTTCAGTCCATGGTGAATGCTGCCTCAATAATGAAATTACCGAAAACAAGCTGAAACGCCATATCAAAAATTTTTTGTTTACCTTAGCGAAATATACTACCATTGAACAACTTTTGAGTAGTTAGAAACCACTCAGACTGATCTGTAGTGATCTAAACACCAAACGGCCGTTTTACTCGTTTCGGACCGAGCCAGTTTATCCTCTGCAAACCCAGAGAAATTCAGCTCATCGAGCTAAATTAGTTCAGATCACCTGAATCTGGCTGGCCAACTGACTTATATGGATCGGTATAGCTAAAGTAGATGATCCATTTACAAATGATTTACATGGTTTTTCAGTAGTTTGTTTCGCTAGTTCCATGACACGTTTGTGCCGGAGATCACATCTTGTTATCTTGGCTAGATGGTTTCAATGAAAACTCTGTTGACACCGCAGTTGGGCAATTGAAGCACTACTCAGCTGTGAGAAATGTCAACGTGGATCGTGCGATTTGTATGTCATTTGCGAACCGGTCATCCTATCTTTTTGATATGCCCTATATCTTCAATAATTCTATCGTATAGACTCACTGATAGTTATGATAACTAGAATTAACATATAAGTAAATCGTGGTGGGATTTGAGTTTATGGCGTAGCTATATTTTTTATTCCAGGTGAGATAGAATATGCTGCTGTCAACCAAATTTCAGGTTAACTACGATCAACTGAATCGTGTTTCATCTTCAACTTAACACTTGTCTCCTCAATCATTGTTTATGATGCCAGCCAATTTTTAAATACTTGTAGGCGTCAAACTTCAGCAGTGTAGCACAGTATAGCTCTGTACTGGATTATTTAGTTGATAACGTCAACACTGCAATACACCGTTATTTACTGGGTGGCGTTTCAAGCACAAATCGTTACTCGTAGTCATATCAAAGTAATCAAAGCTTCCAAACTTCACCTCTGTAGTTTAACAGGACTTCATCCTTTTATTATAATAATAGTAAAACTTTCGAGTTATCTACAATATGCTTCCATGGTGTACTCAACCGGGAAGTGTCAACCGTCTGCACGCGTCCAGTAGTACACAAGACCCAATCACACATAAGTTATCCTCGTCAACTCTGTTTCCTCCTTTGTCTTCGCCTCCAGATACTAATATTAAACCTCTTAAGCCTTACCCAACGTCTCACTCTGCAACTATTGTCAACGATCAAAGCCATCCACATATCATTCCTAGTCTGCCAAGACCTCGTCATCGATTTTATGTAGGAGCTTTGAACATCCGAACTCTATGCCAAAACGGACAGCAAGTATCGCTCGCCGAAACTGTTGAATCTCTTACCATGGATGTGTGCCGCGTCTCAGAGACACGTATGCAGGACCCGAGTGTGGTTATTAAATTGAACTCACCTAGTCATAGTAGTGAATCTTCAAAATTCACTTTAGATTATCCGGAGACGCAATAACTTGATTTCCGTGAACTCACTGGTGTGTTATCATAGCATTGAGTCGTAGGGCAGAAAGTACGCTCGTTGAATGGACTCAAGTAAACAGCCGTCTATGTGCATTCGACTGAATGGGTATGTAAGGACTAGGAAGGATCATGAGACCAGGCGATGCCTATTCGTAATCTCTGCCCATGCACCCACCAACTGTAGTTCGGATGATGTGAAGGAAAAGCTATATGTGATCATGAGTCATCCCTGTTACATGTGTTAGGCGTTGGTTGAACGAACAAGGATTCTGTAATCAATCTCTTCCTCCATCTAGTTATATTTGATTTTAGAATTGTCACCCTAACCTACGTTTCGGTATGATTATAAGTCAGTCCATATAGAGTGATATCCAAGTTTTTCTGTGAATTAATTATCTTAGTAGGGTACATCATTCTATATTTCGCTAAGTTCTTGTTCTCCGCTATCCTAACTGACCTCAGTTGACTAGTTTGACCTACGTACTTGACCGCACAAACATTACTGTTGGGTATTTGATAGACTAAGTTATTTTTATGTATTTGACTGGTTGAGTCTATTTAGCCCACAAAGTTTCACTCTGTGATCGTATAGATTTAAATGCCACCCTGTTCTTAGTACTGTTAAGAAATCCTGTACAGATTTTGTCACACTACAAAGGTTTAAATACCGTCTTCAGTATGTTGCGTTCGACTTTCAACGCTTGTGTTTGGAAATAGGGATAGAAAAATCCTCTAAATGTGCATAATCCTGACATTTTGACATGGCATCTGTCAAGTTAAAAACTATTTTGTACCACCTCCAACCTTGGTTCACTAACTATCAAGTTGCGGGTTATAGACAGACAAAATCAACGTAGAATGTCGCACACAAGTGGATTGGTTCACGCTGCCACACCCTTTACAGTAGTATACAAAGTACAGCCGGACAGAAAAGGAATGATATAGTAGACAAAGGTGGTGTATGCGAGGGGAGGGAGTTTAAAAGTTAAGGTTGGTTGAAATTCCATTAACACTATATGTATGCTTGTTACCAATACTGTTCCATTTCACTCTGTAAAGGATGGAAATGTTGAATAGTGTACATTGTGCATTTTTCAAACAAAAATTTCCACTTATTAATGCTAATTTTTTCCACCCCCTTCCCCCCTGTAAATGTTTTATCTAACAAAAACAGTTCAGCGAATCTGGTTTGTCGAATAATTCACAATCAGGAAGTAATTCTTATCAATCTCTAAAGTATTCTGTGGTGCCGACAACTTCCGTCAGGTGAGCGATCGATTTCATCGTTTTAACCATTCATAATAATTGAATCTTCTAAATGAAATCTGATGAAGAGAGAAACAATGAAGTATGTTAAATTATATTCTCGTTCTTCTTATTCCTGAATATTCAGGATTGCAAGGGTGTGGTGATAGTAAGGGATTCTGAGTTTTTTCGGTATTCTGTTAAGCTCGTGGAAGCTAATTCTAAAATCAACATACTGAACACCTGCATTCACAAGCATGAGTATTCAAGGTCTTAACGGTCGAGCTGTGAAGTGACATGCATTGAATCTGATTAGTGCCTTCTGTATACGATTTCTTGAACTCGAGAGATATATTTCTCAACAAGAGCATTTCATTTATGGAATAACCAGCGAAAAACGGTTCATATTTGAGAATTGTCTGTCAGTGATGATTAAGAAGCAGTCAGAAAAGATGTAAGAATTAAATACAACTGTACAGTTTGATAATGAAGTCGTTAAAAAAAGTATTTCCTCGCTTATAAAAATCTTGTTCTCCTTATATTTTGTCAGTTACATTATGTTTGTTTACTTGTAAAGCGTAATTACAGACTGCGAGTATCGAGTGGCTCTTTTGAAACCTCCATAATGTAATATAACACTGTGCTTTTATATATCTTTTTGCCAAGTCAAGCTAACAGAGCTGTAACTGATTGGTTTGAACACTCGATTTGTAATTGGATGGGTCAGTGGGATCGATCCCTGCCTCATCTATCGAAATATGCGTAGCATAATTAACCCCCTCTCACACCATTGGCGTGGTTGATTGCCTACTGTGCAAACGTCCATATGGCTGCTGAGTAAATTTCGGTTCGGACTAGCTCGTCTATTTCCTTTTTTCCAAGTCAGCTGATCTCATGGCTCAGTTCCTGTGTGTCACAAAAGTCATGATACAGTTTTGTACATCCAGTCATAAGTAGTGCTGTATTAGTTTTTGATCTCTGCTGTTACCTAGGCTTTCTTATTATCGGTCATAGAAATTTCAGATATGCAAGTTACTCAACAAGAGAAAGAAATTTAAGGTGAGCACTTTTCTTGTAGCAGTAACAACAAAAAGAAACAACAACTAGTAATTAAAATCACCGAAAATGGGCTATACCACCAATGTGCAGCAACTGAAACGAACGTTCAAAAGATAGGTAGATTCCAGACACGAATTCTCTTTTGTGAATTTGAAAAAGATCAAAGAAAACAATAGGGGTGGAGGAAAAATGGGATCCATTTTTTGATTTCAATAGTATCTTGTCAACTGTTTTCAACCCCTAGAATATCAAAACACACAGTTTTACTGGAAATTCAACATATACTTTAAATTCATTGAAGCGTAACAGAATATCGATCAGTGGCTAAGATGGACGGAAAAATAGTCATAGAGCAAAAGTTAATCATACTGGCAAATTAAAGGAGACTTTATAAATGGTCATACATAATCTAATGGAAGTTTTTCGGATGAAATGACGACAAGAGGAGTAGTAATCAATATATTGAGGGATTTAACATTATAACATTATGTAAGCAGGTCATACGATAAATTAGCAAAGTATTGTGAGTTAAACTCAGTTACAATGAAACAGTGGAGAATTACAAGTATATCAAAATACATTACTGTATAGTGCTCATTAGTGACTTGCTTCCAGATGGATATCAGGAAGCTCTAATGAGAAGCCGTGACCTGTGGGGTCAACCAGTCGGAAGTGAAGTGGATGCTAACTAAAGACCTCGGGTGATAGTCGCACTATGTCGTAAATTGACAGAAGTTGGAAATTGTGAACCACTGGTAACTAACCCAGTGGCTGAATGGTTAACGCGTTCTCCGTGAAACCTGAAGGTCCTGAGTTCGACCCCTAGCCGGGTCGTGGGTGTGTACTGCCGAGAAGTCCCATGCTAGGACGAAACAACTGTCCTGTGCTCCCAGATTCTCAATGGTTCCTGCAACTGATGTCAGCTCATGGTGAATACTACTTCTGAAACAAGTATATCTATAAATAGTAGTAACTTACACCCGTTGTACAAGTGGTTACCGTTCCTCTGTGGCATAGTGGATAACGCCCTGGGATATGAAGCTATGAGTACGAGGTTCGAGTCTCAGTGAGAACAACATCATTCACTGAGGTGCAGGTACATCCAGCTGACGAATCCCAAAGAGGACGAAGTGCGCGTCCTGAATTCCTCTACTAGCTACAACCAACCAAATTACCATAATTAACTCTCAGGCAATATCGAGGCATCTGCATAGGAGCTCATATGCCAATAGAGGTCAAATAATTTGATCCGATAAAACAGCGAACTACAAGAATATCAATAAATAGTAATAAACTCAGTGATATCGGCAAAAGATGATGTAATCAAATAACAGTGAAGAAAGGATTACCAAGATAGACTTAGGTTGACTTTTTGGACACATAGATCAGGTTTCAAGTGTTTGATGACTATCGCTTCAGTAAACTTCAGTAGAATGGAACTCGTTTGTTTGTTTATTATCTTGAAGGAATTGAAGATATCTGCATGATATCGAATGATTTCACTGTTTAAAGTCTGTGTTACTTCCCCTCAGTCAGTCGTTGCCTCTTCGGAATGTGTTCATAAAATCTAAGGTACTTCCTTCTTTCTGTTCTTCAAACGTATCTGCTTCGGCAGCTGCACATAAATTGATATACATAGTTGGAGGTGACCTGTCGACTTTTTTTGAGCATAATGTTTGATACACAGGGATTAACTTGGCTACAGAGAAAGTCTTAGCCAGTGATTTCTTCAATCGTTGAATTATAGTAGTTCCTGAAATATCATCACTTTTGAAATTCAGGCAAATGAATACAGCCTTCTTGCTGACTAGCTTTTTTCGACTTTTTATCTTCTGTTTTACCAAACTTATTGATAAATACCTGTGGATATCCATTGTCCCGTATGCATCTTTCAACAGGTCACAACTCTTCCTCCACTTTATCATTGGGAAATGTCATTTTAACTTTGTGAAACAGGGTTTTAGCCAATCTCCTTAATCATAAAAAAAAACTATTAAAATTCAAGTAGTTACCATTCCACGTAATCTTTCGATGAATAGACCTTTTCAGCGTGTCATCTGTCCGACGTTGTGCAGCAATATCCAGAAAATTGAACTTTTCATCATTTTCGTATTCCATGGTAAATTCAGTATTGCTATGTATCTAGTGTAAAACGTCGCTTGACCGATTGTATCTTTCAGTATCCTCTGGATTCGCTACGAAGATTTCCATCAATATGAAACCTAGATGATTCTCCATCGTTAATCCGCCAATTTGTTGATAGAGTTTATCGTTAAATCGGAACTGAACATCCTTGGTGCACACAAATAGAAAACACTTGAACTCTATTACTGACATGGGGAGAAGATCCGTATAGTGCCACATGATATCTTGAAGAGGTGTGCTTGTGAATGGGGAAGCTATATCAAACGATATTATGAACTTCTTTGAAACATCAATATCATTCAAGTTCTTGACAAATTGAAAGGAGTCTTTAATTATCGAACTGGTTCCAATTTTTTAGCCAGTCAGTGGTCTAGTTTGTGATGAGGTGAATTAACCATGGTTAGAGTAGGTCTGGGGCGAGTACTTTGGATATGTATCTTTGGTAACCCATATCTATAGGGCAGAAAAGACCCCCTGGGCTTCAGATCATTATATGTGGAACTGTCAATCAGTTTCTTTGTCAAGAGTTTTTCCAACATCTTTGCAATTCATCTTTTCATCAGTCATATCCCTTTGGCTAAATATACACATCGTCTACTTCGAGTTTTTTTATCCAGTATTCTACAAAATAAGCAGAATAACCAGGTTTCTGTTTATCTGACTGCTAAAATGAAGTTGGCACACCGTCTTTTGTCAAGTTTAAGGGCTCAATTCTTACGGATTCCTACCAGTTATTTGATCATTGAAAGTTTGTAAACGACTGTGATCCAATATTTCTTCAGTTTGAACTGTCATTCTCTTACAAATCATCTGAATTAATCACGTTTTTTGAACCATTATCCACAGAATACACACTCCGTAGTCGAAGACTGTTATCATACGGAATTATTTGTTCAATATTCCTCAAATTAACAATGGGCGACATCGTGGTCTGTTGACGTGACTTTATTTAACTAGCTGTATCAGTTTGACTATGGGAAAACATCGTGGTTTAGCAGACTGGTTTCAATGCTGGATGGTGATTAAGGGTTAAATGAAAACTGGTCTGCAGCAGGATCTGAACCTTCGGGTTCTCAACCTGTTGTCCGTTGCTCATTTGATAGAGCACCGGATCGGAAATTTGGAGGTCTCTGGTTCGAATCCTGCCACTGCCCAGAATTTTATTTCCCCTTCAGTCATCATCATCCAGTACCAACTAGCTATACACCTATCAACCCCCCCTCCCAATAAACACACTATTGTTTGTCAACAAAAGTCAACTGTAAACTTTCAGTTGTAATCTAAACTCCCGTCTCATGTTAAGTTGGTTGTAGATAAGGTTGTTTACATAACTTTGTGTCCGAGTGTTTATTGTATTCCGATAAAAGTGTGTACACTAAACTCCATCCAACTAAAACAATCTAAAATTTCATCTACATGACTAGACAATGTTAGTATAAATCTTGTGACCCATTTTCATTCCATTGTCTACACATTTTATTAAGCCTGTTTAGAAGACTGAACTCAGTCAACAATTGTATATGTAACATAATCTAGTTAACCTTATCTTTTTTGGGTCATATATGAGGTTGATTATGGCTAGACAGTGGCTAAAACCTTAGTTGTTTTGACTGTGTACAGCTATCATCTGATCTTCTAATTTACTTGGCGCCTAGCAGTGAATCCAAGATGCTCTTTTCACCATATTTGAGGCTCACCAGCTAGGTGTAGCTGTCTCACAGTGATTGATGGCGTTCTTACTGAAACTTGAATCCAGTACCCATCGCGTCAAACACCAAAGCATTGTCTACTACGCTACTGTGGCGTGAGAGCCACCTCTTATGCAATGTAAAGAATTTTCAGGCAGTACGGAAACACACGTAGGAACTCCTCTGTCAACGGAGGTTGAGCAATCCGATCCAGTTTATCAATTTAAATTACAAGTAGCAATGAATATTATCGATCTATTCTCAGTAACCGCATACATAGCATAATTAACATTTAGAGAGTATCGAGGCATCCGCATAAGGAACCCATGTGCCAGTAGAGGTAGAACAATTCGATCCAATAAAACAATGCCGGGTTACAAGCAAATTAATAAATAGTAATAAGTAATACCCGTTATACAAGAAGTGGCTATCGTTCCTCCGTGGTATAGTGGATAACCCCTTGGTGTTTGGAGCGACAGGTACAAGGTTCGGGTCTCAGTGGGAATAATATCACTCGTCGGGGTGCAGGCACATCCAGCTGACGAGTCCCAAAGAGGACGAAACGCACGTCTTGGAACCCTTCACTAGCCACAATCAAGCAAAATTATCATACGTTAATATGGTCATCTATGCTGTGACAAAAAATTGCAAACCAGTTGGGTTTGGCCAAAAATGTTCATCTGTTATGCTACATTCTCCATTTTAAGCTTTTATTCACTGTCTACTTTTTAGAAAGCATTGGTAATACTCATGAAACTGTGGTATAATTAGTCATATCTAGACAGATAGCATACGACAATGGGACAAATTCTAAAACCCCTTCAGAATGGGAGAATCATAGTTCCGGGGGGTGTAAGCAAGGTAGAGGTGAAAGAAGAGGCAAAAAGCGGAGATTAATGAAATGTTCAAAACAAATTTTCCCCACCATAGCAAAGAGTGTTGAATATATCAGTATTATTTTGATCGATTTCAAGGTATGTTGTCAACTCAGCAACCTGAATTCTTATCTCAATGCTTCATTCTTGTGCAATTGTTGTCTACGTTTGCAAATAAAAGTTATAGATCCCAGCGTCGACTAAATGTTTCATGATATGGCTCATTGGCTTATAGAGATAACTTTCAAGTGGTGAGTCATAGTTTCAAGCCCTGTCTCACCTACCCAGGTTATTTGGGCAGCCAGGTAGTATTATCACTATCCCCTAAACCATAGGTGTGGCTCATTGCCTTGTGCAGAAGGCTGCTGAGTGCAATTGAGATCCGACTGGTTTCACGATGTTGGTAACATGCGTATATAAATCCAAAAGGAAATACTTGAGCCTACTATAAGTTACTTAACTAGTACCCAAAATGTCTAACTTATTTCTTCTTTTCCCAATTATTCCTGGTTCATATATTGGTTAGATTGCATTTCTGTGTCGTGATGGTACAGTTATATTCTCTTCTTTTTCTTATCTACAGCTCAATCAATCCTCTGTTGTCTACTTCCACTCCAGTGGATTTAATTAAAAATGAACCATCCATTAGTCCAGATAAACATAATTTCAGTCTATCATCATTTATGAAATCAGATTCACTGAGAATACCTCAATCTAATACTGATGATCTCATTTCTCCATCACCTAGTATTCATGATGATATTAATGAATGCTCAACCAGATTAATTTCTCCATTGGATACAAATCATCAAGCTTCCTCTTGCAATGAATTATTAAATGGTATAATGATTGATGATAATTCACATTTTATTATACAAACACCTACAAAAGCATTGAGTGAAGCTGATCAACTCTCATTTCATTTAGCTAGTCCCCGGCTGTTTTAGGCTCTGCAGGACAATATACTTGTAATTTGAATCAAAAAATTGATGTCGATAGGACACCGGTTCGTTCACGACTTCCACAGTCGAAATCTGATGATGATGTGCCACCACGTGTAAGTCTTTGAAAGGCACTCAACTCTTTTATTATTATTATTATTATTATTATTATCGTGTGGATGGGTGCCATATACACACTCGTTATGTACAGTGATGAATTAAGTCTTCTACAGAATGGTAGTACTTGGGGATATATCCTTCATTCGTAAACACTCACGCATATTCCAGTGTACTTGGTGCCTAGTAGTGGAACCTAGAACCTGCATTTCGTACTATTTAGAAGTCGTCATATGGCATACCTTCACCACAGTGAATGATGGTGTTCCCAAATCGTTATCCACTGAGACATAAAAGCCTCTTGTTCAACAGGTACCAGTTATTATTTATTGACCCTTATGATTACTGGTTGCTAAATCGAGTCAAATCACTCGACCTTTGTTAGCAGATGAACTCCTGTACAGAACCCTCGATACTGCTTGGATATTCATTATATTGAAGTGTACTGACGAGTCCTAAGAGGGGCGAAACGCACATCCTAGTTTTTTCAATGTTATGATCAACTACTGTAGGCATTCTTCATTTCTCTCTGTCCGTTATAGACTGTCCAAGTGGACTGCTTAATTAATAAATCAGATTTCAAGTAATCCATGCAGACATCGTATATCGAGTAGAAATATACTATGGTCAGTTTTTTTCTTTTGAGTTAACGATAACGGTAGTTACTGTATGCTATGGACCTTTATTTAGCAGGCAGGGGAGAGGAGGGTTATGCGACTGCTTCTTATTGGTCGTTAAACTAGTTAACATGACCGCCTACTTAGTTAAAGGACGAGCATACCATATTGCAGTATATTCTGCCCCGGTATATGACTGTGAGACATGTTCGTTACACACGACAGGCAAGCCTGTCAGTGAAGTTGTAAACTTCACATAATGAAGTGACTTGGTCATGTGTGTCTATGCAAACTACTGTTTACCTTGATGTGCAGTGATAAGCGAAGTTAGATTAGATTGGAAGAAGGCTAATAGTGACCAGGCCAAGACATGAAATCCATGACTGTTCATCTGGTGTGGGGGGCGGCGAGATGATGTGATCAGCGGTTGGAGACTCTTCGTGACATGACTGTAAACGGTCACAGACTCTTCTGAAGCTTGTTTTCTCATCAACCTTTATCTTGAAATTGTGTCTTCTCTCACAGCACTTTGATATCGGTCTCTTTCTATCCACTTGTTCCTCTCATGCTATTGTGAAGTGTGGTCAGTTGAACCGATGGATTTGTGATCGAGCTTCCATTTAGATTTTGTCTGTGTTCAAATGACATAAATCATTGTAGTAGATGCTCCTTTTTCAATCATCACTGTGTAGTGATTTCAAGCGCACTCCACTGTGATCAGTGTGGTTAATTAGTCAATATCTTCAACCTACCAGTAGACTGGAGTTTTACGTTATCCTTTGAACAATGCGGATTTTTCAGACTTAACCCCATTTCGAAGAGTACTGGAGAATAAGGCAAGTAGGCTACAGCTTGATATATCCTTATCACTCCAACTGATGCATGTTTGTACCCCACGTCGACTTTCCTTACTATACATTATGTGCTTAGTGTACGACTGAATCAACGCCTGTATACTGATGTTTCAGACTAAACTGTCACACTAATCTACTTTTCACCTTCAACTGTTATTTTATATAAATTCGTGCTGTGGTTTAGCTCCTTATTACCTTAAGGGTAGGATATTTTCTACTGCCCCTGTAATTTTAAAAACAATAAGTAGCACTTCAGTGAAGGTTGTGAATGTTCATCGACTGAGATGTCTAAGATGTGTTACGGACGTCTAGCCACCGGTCTGCCTCGTCGTAGCGTAATGTTGACCGAAGTAGGTCCAGACCTGATAAAGCTCGAGACAACCAAACTAAAACATAGCATCAATGCATTAAGTCCTCGACTGCTGGTTTGAGCTATATAGGACGATGCGGACTACCCGGTTAGGGTCGGCGAAACAGGAGAACCAGTCATTAGAGACTAGGTTATATGACTCAGAACCGATGTGAGTGGCGCAGATGCATACACACATTAACCGCCATTATTATTATTTATTATTTGTCCCTTGGGTTCCTAGTCGAACATAAGGCTTCACTAGCACGCCTCCATTGCGCGCTGTTTTCTGCAGTCTTTTAAACCTGGCTCCACGACTGCCCAGAAGCTTTCATTTCTTCCTCATATGATCTCCTCCATGTCACCCTCGGCTAGGACGCCTAACTAGTCGTTTCCCATTTGGCCTCCACTCGACGACCTAGCCTGGTGCGTGATGTCCCCGAATCGTCTTCTCAGTGTATGCGCAATCCATCTCCACTTCCTTCTGCATATTTGTCGGGCGATGGGTTCTTGGTTGGTTCGTTCCAAGACAGTCAGAGTTCCTTGTTGCTTGTTCTTATTATTCTGGCCATCTGATCTTCAGTATCGAGTGAGCGTAGGTGGCAGCTGTTGATGAATGTTTGTAGTTTGTTGGAAATGCTTTCCGTAATGTACCAAGTCTCTCAACCATCACACAGAAGCACTGACCTGACTGAATTAGTGTTGAAAATTCGGATCTTGTTCTTTATGCTGAGTACAGAAGATCCCCACACTGGTTTCAGATTAATGAAGGCCTGGCTTTGACATCCTCATCTGTGCCACCGCCTGTAGTTGAAACGATGATGCCTAGGTAGGTAGGTAAGTGAAGGAGACTACTTCCTTTAGGTTTCTCCCGTTGATGGTGATCGGTGCTTGTTGTTGGTGGTTGGGTATCTTCATCAGCTCTGTCTTCTCTACGTCCACTTAAAGTCCCATCTTCTCTGTTCTGCCTCTTCTGTCAACTTGTTGGTTTCCGCCTGTAGATGTTCGAGTTTGTGCGACATTAGACATAGGCATTATTTGTAGGTGCTTAGCGTAGCATTGTATGATTATGACCTTCCTTCCTTTTGAGTTGAACCTTGCTGTTATGATCCTGGAGGAGATTGGTTCCCACTGCATGAGAGAGAGCCTTCGATGCTCTTGAGGACATCATGATAGCTACTCCAAAACTCTATGTGGTCGTGGCTGTCGTCTGGGTGAGAATATCGGTGTAGATTATTGACTCTCCAATTGACAGTTTGGAGAGGCCACTTCCATTCTATCTGCTTTCGCGGATTCCTAGCACTTCTAGCCTACACCTTTTCATCTGTTTGGCAATCTGAGCAGCCTTGCTAGGTTCAAACATTGTGTGGACATTCCATGTCCCCATGTTTACTTTCGCTTTCATCGAGATGAGAGAAGACACATCCGCCGATTGGCTTCCTGAAGGCCTTCACCAACCGGCGTCCTTTCGCCTCTCCGATTCCAGCGGGGGATAATTTTGTTTTTATTTTTTATATTTTGTTTGTGCTTTGAAGTTTCTTTAGCGGTTGGATTGGTTTTCTGGGGTGGGGTTGCTAACCCTATGTCCAACCTTCACTTAGGACCGGCTAGTAACTCGTGAACTATTTACCTAGGCGAGGTTACATTAACCGCCCTACCTAATCTTATCTCATTCTTCCTTCATCTCTTTTACTACTTTCTACTTCTAATTCCTTTGATCGGTTAGTCTTTACTTCTCCATTTCTCATTTTATTGCCTTTTTGCTTGATGTCCTGATATGAGTCTGGCAACTTTGACGGTTATGCAGTAATACCTGGTCCTGTGTTGACCGTGATGATAACTTCAGAGATTGCATGTGTAAAATCATTGAATTAATTGATCATCCTTTCCTACTTCGTCTACTTTATCAAGATACTTACAATACATACTAAGCCTTTCCTATTTTAAGATTGTTTCAATCATAATGATAGAAGTAGTCAAGAGAGATACATTTTCACTAACCATATGCACCTCCGTGTTGTGAGTTTTCCTGGCGTCGATAGGTAGATCAGGGGTTCGAACCCGTGACCGATAAGTTGGAAGTCAGGTGCCTGGACCGATGAACTACAGCTCCGTCAGTATTAGTAGTATTTTAAATACTGGCTAATGAATTTTTTTCACCAATCAATCAGTCGTTTATTGAGTTTAAAACAATGTATATTTCTGTCAACTTCATGTTTCTTTAGCGACCCCCATGCACCAGATTGTTTGATGACACTCCAAAATGCTCTTCGTCTTCTGTCGCGTCAACATCCACATCATCGTCGTTCAACGAGAATAATAATCGGCCAAAAAGAAGTTTCACTAACTCCTCAACCCTGACAACATATAATTCCTGTGATGAAGCTAAATCTATAGCTATTGTAACTGCCAAAGCAACTGCTTGGAATCGTGCATTGTTACGATTTTCATCCTCCTCAACAGTGACCACATCTTTGTTAAACTCACAAAGGTCTAATCTTTCCTATCTCAATATGAACAATACTAATAACAGAATAAAAATTGATGAAGCATTCAGCTTTGATTCACACAATCTCCACACCTTTCCAAACAGTAAAGATTCTATGATGGAATACTACAATAATCTATCATCTTATAAATCCCGTCATCAAGTTAAAAATAGTATCAATTTGGATCCACTGAAACCATTACAATTTTCCGCAAGAAAACAACCTCATTTGTCACTTCGACGTGTTGTACAAGTTGGTAATGAAGTAAGTGTGTATCATATATTTCTTTTTATACCTAAACTCTAATCCTTTTACTGTGAGAATGAATTCTGACACAAATTCTTAGCAGCTGTTGACCACATTTGTTCCGGGTGATAAAATATTCGCCTGCTTGTGATATTAACCTCACAATATACTCGAATGGTGGCTGTTTCAAAACTTAACTGACGATTATATTTAAGATATTCAGTTGATTGACTTCACGTTGGTTATTCGTTACAGACTGATATCAGATGGAGAACTTTCGAAAACCTGGGAGCACTGGACAGCTAGCCGCCTCGTCCTAGTATGGGACTGCTCAGCAATGCGCACCCATAACCCCACCGAGGATCAAACCCAGGACCTTTAGGTTCCATGACCAGTACGCCATGAATACCAACTTGAAATGACTAAATCCTGACAGACCCCAAAATGAAGTTGATGTAGTAGTGCTCACTGGTGACTACTTTCGAGAGGTGATTCCTAGAGTTCCAAAAAGAAGTGACCGGTGGGGCCAGGACGAAGCCGAAACCTTCAGGTCCCGTGGCCAACACATCAGTAGGCCATTACGTTCACAGTTCCCTACTTCTATCGATTCGCGATATAGTATGACCTCCATCCAATGTCATTAGTAAGCTTTTGGTTTTGTATGCGACTTGTTCTACCCTACGGGTCATGACTTCTCATTAGAACTTCAAGATATTCATTTCCAAACAGGTCACCAATAAACTAATAAGTAATTCAGTTTTGGAGGTTTATTTGTTGATTTTAAGTTGGTGTTCATTGTGGGCTCTGGCATCCGTCTTCAAACACTAAATCAGTTGTCAACCAAACCTAATTGTGTATTTATATTTTGTAGTGATTAATTAACGTGTTCGATCCCTAGCCGGGTCATGGGTGCGTACTGATGAGGAGTCCCATAATAGGGTGCTCCGAGGTTTTCAATAGTTCTCTGATTGCTGAGTCCGTGGTGAATATTACTTGAAAAATAGTGTAGCATCACTTATTTTCGTTTTAACGAAAGACATACAATAGAGATAATAGTTTTAATCAGAGGAAAAGATCAAACTGAAAAAGTAGTCAGTGAATGCGAGATTGTACTTCCAACGCCTACGACAATGCAGATTTGTTTGTTAGAATATTTTGTGTGTACAACATGAATATGTGTTGTTGTTGTTCTGTCTATGAAGTACTGAAAAACTGACTGTTGTATAAACACAAATTTTATGCTTGTAGCATAAGAGTGTGTATCATATGTAGTCGGTTGGTTGACACCTACTCAACTGTTTGCGTTTAAGATACGGTGATGATATTAGTCTCTTTCAAAAATTAGATAAGCCTTGCTTACAGTATTGTGTTGCGATCTTATGTATTTACGGGGTTGAATTTTAATTTCTAAAAGAGCCAATTAACAACTTTAGTGAGGTGGTGTGTACTAAAGAAGGAAAATAAACTCGTTTCACTATTTTAGCGAATTGAATCCAAATATACACTCAGCAGCCTTGTGTACGTACATTCGTTCAATAGGCAATGCATATCTCCTATTGTATGAGGGCTAATGGTACCTCAGTAGGTGGAGAAGAGGGGTTAGAACCGATGAATTGCTGGTTGAAAATCATCTATCTAAACCCATAATCCACAGCTTTATGTTTAGCCGTACAACACTGCATTTTCTTTATAGTTGTAGGATGAAAGATAAAACCAATGCCTTTTGGGATTACATATCCATCCATCGGCGAAGTAGGAAATGCAACTGTCAGTTATTCCTGTGAAATAAGGTGGTTACACAATGCGAAAGAAATAATCTGTGTGTTCACTGTATGTTGCTTTGAAATAAAATTTATTTCATCATATTCTTTATTACTGCATTGATTAATCTGTTGTTTATTCACATTCGTTTGTTTTTTTTTGAATACATGTATTTATTTAAAGAGCGATTGGCGAAAAGTTGCTTTTGGTTATGGTGACGACTGTAAAGTCTTGCGTCGATTGGCTAAATCATTTACTGACAATTTTCAACAATCTGAAGAGGATATCTAACAGATCTGACGAAATCCCCGGGGTTCTTCATCAATAATGCCTTCACTGTTTATCCCAACACCACCCCCACTCTAGCCTCCTTCCCATCAATATCAACCAACAGACATTGCATAAGTGAAATGAAAGCAGATGGGTAGTAGGTGGTGATGGGAATTCTCATTATCTCAACATTCTACTTTTTTTCATATACCATAAGTGTGTGTGAGGGTGCGTCTCGATGTGATGATCAAACTATCTCATAATTTTATTCTCTAACTTTTCACAGTGAACATTTCTACTTTAATCTGATAGGTGTGTTTTATTGATTTCATGTTTCTCAGTCTCTTTCTCTTTGTGATGTCTTTTCTACCCGTCATGTTATTGATATTACTGAAAATCAGGGCGAGAAAAAGTCACACGCCTATGAGATAATGATCTGGATTCTTGTGTGTGTGTGTGTGAAGACAATCTGCTACATTCACTAGTGCTCTTCAATGACTCATATGTTGAATGAATGCAGTGTTCAGACAGAATCATACCATCTTTTTTAAGTTAGGACTAACTTTCTTACATATACATATATTATTTAGGCATCTTTTATCATACTACTATCAGTGGGAATGTTACCAGTAATAGTTAGTAATAGTACTAATATTATTACTACAGTTTTTTGTCAAAAAAGTAAAGCAATCATGTGATATTTATTGCGCATACCTACACATAAACCAATAGAGAAACATATGATGAGTTTTTTATTCTTTCATAATGACCATTGTTGTTGCATACTTTATTCTTATGCCCAACTTTTCACTGTACATCCAACCATCAGCCTTTAGATGGCAACGTTTCATCTGCGAGTTTTGCTATTACACTTTCATATTCATCCTTTAATCTCTATGTCTTCTACACATGTATGATATATGTCACTGGATTGTTGTTGTCGGTGTGTGTATGTGTGTGTGATTTCCATTTCTTCTTCAACAAATATGTGTATGGCTTCATTTTAAACTTATCTTCAGTGCAATCTAAGCGGAGGACAGTGTTGTATGCCAGTTCCAGGAGAAAGGGAGACGGGGAAAGACAGCAACAAAATGATAATAATCATACTAATAATATATGCATTTAACAGGACTAATTAGTCTCTCTAAAGATTCTGCTTTTTCTCTGCTATGTTGCTTCTGTCTTCTGCTAACTTTATCACAATTTCGTCTTTTTAATGATTCATTTTTCAGTAGATGACCCTACTGGTGGTAGGTGTTTGTTTTGTTGTTTGTAATTCTCCATGATGAACACTCGGTCCGTTTATTTCACTTCTTTTTTTTATAAGTTGTCATACATCAGTAAATTTTCTTTTTATAAACTTCAGGTGTTTCTTTCCTCATTAAGATAATCAGTATATAAATTAATAAATTATTCATTTAGACTTGCCTATTGGGAATCAGTCAGTGCGCTGCATACCATGCGTATCACATATCCAGTCGATGAAGGTTAACAACTGTTTTTCCTCTCCTCTCTAAACCTGTACACCTGACGTTTGCGTTACTGAAGTGGTGATACTATGAAACACGACTTGTGTTACGAAGACAATGGTGGTCGAACACCAGAGGCCTCTACTTTTTTTTTTAGTTATGGACAGTTGGCAAGAAGCCCTGCTTACCTAGGTTTTATGTGTGGTGGCGGCACTCGTCAACAAGACATATCTACGAGTTGATATCGTTTGATGGATTTGAGATGGCTTAATCGACTACCGCAGCCAGCGGCCTTACCATAGCTATCTTGCTCATGATTGGCCTATTTCAGCACTGTACGACGCGGGTTCGAAGCCTTCTACGTAAATCACTTCCCTAGAGATTGGAAACATATCTATCTGATGCTTGCCAATAAGTACAAAACGTATTTCTGCCAACCGATTTCTAATATCTAACATCATGGTGCATTCTGACTATACTGAAGAAAGCAAAATAGAAATATAACAGACTAGGCATCTAAAACACATAATGTCTATGTCTCCATCAAACAATTTGAATGTCCACTGTTTTCCCCATAATTTTGAACTCCAATATGTTTACAGGTAGTTCGTAGAAGAATAGCCTACGTGTGTGTAGGCTATATACAGTAGATGGGTTGATCAAAGCTTTATTGTCAATCACATTTTGGAGCAGATTCATTCAACATTTCATTACCAGTATTTACCATTAGAAAAGTAGTTTATATATTCCCAAACTAGATTCGTGTCACTGTATTAGTTTATGCAATACAACTCAACTTTGTGCCAGATCATGAAACATGCTTACTGTCTGTATGTATGAGAGAGTGAGGGCTTACAATATGAATCGGTTAACCGAAGTGGAACACAAGTTCCATTATGTGGAAATCCTATGTCTACAGCCACTCACCACGGCGTAATTGTTTTAGTTAGTTGTCCTTCAAAATTAACTTCTGTCATCATTCTTTTTAAAAGTCATTGTGTTGTGCAAACAAGGGGGTGATAGCTGGTTAGGAGGTGATGAGGTTACCCGTTTATCTTCTCGTCTATGACTGTGCTTTAATGAAACTTTTCAAAATAATGTTTAAAAAGACAATCTTAAGATCTTATGGCTTTTTCCCAACTATGTTTTGTCCTTTACTGATGAACCTTAATGACCAGCAGTGGATGCAACAGGACGTGTTTTGTCCGTTTGGGGCTCGTCAGCTGTATCCACCTTTCTGCAACATAAAACTATGCCCATTAGACAAGGAGTGGCTGTCGTAACTCAGTAGCATAATGTCTAACACTTTAATGTTTGATGAAATGGGTGCTGAGTTCGAGCCACAGTGGGAATGACGTCAATCGCTGGGAGGTAGGTACATTCAGCTGACGAATCTCATCCAGGATGAAAGACACATTTTGAATTTCAGTGTTAGGCAGTATATCGATACTTAAGTTATCGACAGTATCGAGGGATCAGCACGGGAGCGTATTTATCAATAGTGGTCAATCGTTTTGATCCAATCAACGACCATGTTTTGTTTGGTTCATGAGGGAAAAAACTATGCAGTTGTATCGACCGCTTAACTTACCTCAATACACATGTCTGTTAATCCACTCCGTTGTTAACTTTCGCTACATTTGATACCGACAAGATATCACTATTAAAGAGTCAAGTATGCAGTAGCGTAGTCCTTTCCTGCATCCTACATAGTCGAAACCCGGCCAATATCTGATACCTTGATGAGGTGATCGGGCTTGCATATCACAGTGACACAACGAGCTACACTGTTGGAACACTCTTTTCCTCGGGGTCCTATCATGCCAAAAAGGTGCGTTGGAAAGTAGTAAGGTGAAAAGCAGTTAGCATTTTCGTGCAAATTGCTACATTATTGACGGTGGTCCAAGGGCGAAGTGGTACTACTGACTGAAAGAAGAGTGATAGCAATTAGGTGTTTCCCGCCGGTGAAAGCGGTACCACGGTGGTGCTGCTTCCTATATGGGAAGGAGAGGGGGTTAGAAAAGGTCGACACCCAGAATACCACTCTCCTTCTTGCCACATAGTCTCTTAGTGCCGACGGTATGTCTTCTCTATCCGACGTTAGAACAACCAAATCTCAAAACTAATTGGCAAAAGACTCGAATGGGCTCTGTGGTCACAAGTCTTTTTCGCTCTCAAGTGTCTTAAGAAGAAATAGACTTCCGCAGTTTGGGCAGAGAGGAAGTATCAACCGCCAGCATGCTTCCACACAGGTGCAAAAAAATGACACTTAGCTTCTTCCTTTTTGTAGAACAATAAGATTTCAATATAATGTTTTAGACACAAAAATAACAGCAGTCAAGGAACTGAGATATGGTAGTCAAGTATACAGTTAACTGTACCGCTGTCAACAACGAGTCTTACAAATGTTATGTGTGTTAGCTGACGGCAATCAGCATGGAGACCTGGATATGGGTTTCGCGCTTATTGGCAGTCTACAACAAGGCATGTTTACAATCTTAGGAGAATTGATTTGTCTGTCCTCTGAGATACGAATCCATGTCACCCAATTATGCAGGCAGCGACATTGTCATTATGGTATTCGATCTATCTAAGGTGCACTGTTGCGGTGAACCTCATGGCTTGATGGTAACATTATAAAGTGACTGGTAGAGTCCGACCAGCACTCAAAATTAGACAATATGAGGCTGAATTCGGGGGGTTGCGGGATTTATTGACTTAACGTTGGTATTTATCACAGACTGATATCAGATAGAGAACTTTCGAAAACCTGGGAGCACTGGACAGCTAGCCGCCTCGTCTAGTATGGGACTGCTCAGCAATGCGCACCCATAACCCCACCGAGGATCAAACCCAGGATCTTTAGGTTCCATGACCAGTACGCCATGAATACCAACTTGAAATGACTAAATCCTGACAGACCCCAAAATGAAGTTGATGTAGTAGTGCTCACTGGTGACTACTTTCGAGAGGTGATTCCTAGAGTTCCAAAAAAAGTCACCGGTGAGGCAAACATAGTGGCTATGAGGAAAACTACTCAGCAACGATATTAGGTCATGGTCGAGCTGTGTCATGAACTGATAGAAGTAAGGAATATGGAACATTGGTTTCCGACTTGGTCGCTTAATGGTAATATGCCGGCCACGAAACCTGAAGGTCCTGGGTTCAATTCCTGGAGGGCTGGGGTCACAGATGCGCACTGCTGAACAGTTCCATACTAGGACGAAGCAGCTGTTGAATGTTCCTACATGCTGAATGTCAACTTGAAATCAATATCAAATTGGTTCCTCTGCAGCGACTAATCTACGTTTGTGTCAATCATATCTTAAACCGTTATAGAATGAATACTATTGAGTGATAAATACGTCCTGCG